GGCCTGACGATTGTTTTTACACATTACTGTGTGATCTAATACTTGTTTAATATTTACGAAGCACCATTTCATTCAAATGTCCACTTAATCTTTAATATTTGGCCATTTCTTTAGGACAGAAATGCTATAGCCACTGTAATTTAATGAATATGTGGACATCAAAACCTGTAAACTCAGTGAGGGTTTGAGCTTTTATTTTGAAACCGCGATGTATTCTCCTGAGTTTGCGTAGATTTATCAATTATTTAACTTACAAATCTGATGAAATGGCGCATGTTGCGTTCCCAGATGAACGTTATAATAAACCCAAACTCACAACAACATTCAGAGATGCAGTTTGAGACGCTCCACACATGTAAATGATAACAGTTCCTGTGGAACTACTGTGAACGGAGCCACGTACTTAATCTACACGCATGTAAATAATTAAAGCGCATATAATGTAGTAGAACTGCATCGCATATAATTATTTAATTAAACCGTAGCGTTTGTGAATTCAAAATTATGCTTAATTATGATTTTTAAATGGGTTTAATATATCATGCAGCCTTGCGAAACAGTCTAATAATGTGTTTTATGGATTCTCGTCCGTGAAATGCGCCACTTCCGGTATTTTGCCGGTTAGTCGACGCGAGCAAAATGAAGTCGAGGATTTGTAAAAATCGAATAGTCGAATAAAATCGACGAATCGCGACAGCCCTAATTAAGACAGTAATTTGCTGCCACCTACTGGTAGTTTTCATTTCAAAAGCAATTTTTATATTTCAATATATGTCAAATATTTAAAACATTTTTTTTATTAATCTCATCATTATTTGCAGTTGTAATGCAAATATATATAAATGCCTACAGTGTCTCATTATTCTAATTAAATTTAATAATTAAACATGAGAATTTGACTTAAAGGATGATATTAGATTCCATATTAGATAGGGATGTAACAAGATGAAATGAAAATACCACGTAAGAACTGACTGTCTTTAGAAAGGTTTATGTGGTATTTTTCTTTCATCTTGCCTCCGAATGATGCATATTAAAGTAGAGTTCATAAGCGCAGCTCTGCTTTCGTTTACAGCAGTAACCCAGGAAACACTATATCATTATACATTCATATAAACTCCTACTCCAATTGTATCGCGATTTGTTTGGCATCTCAACCGATTTGAATCATCACATATTTGAATCGATTTTCAACCGGCTCGCGGTTCATCGTTACATCCCTAATATTAGATACATTTAGAAAAAAAAAATACCTGCCCTTTATAAAAGGTAAAAATCCTCTGGAAATCAATTTAAGGTGGCAAATATTGGCCATGAAGAATAAGAATATGAAAAGCGGACAGTCAGAAAGGCCTAAACCACAAATAGCAGCACAAAAACACACTCAGCAAAATATTGTCTAATTATTCTTATCGTCAAAACCCCAGAACATAGAGACTGTTTCAAAAATATCGCACAGCCCTAAATGCAACAACCATAAATATTAAATACACTAGTTGACATCACCAATCAGTTGTTGGGTAAATAGTGCACCGTACTTGCAACTATACCTATACTTTATGTGATATAATAATAATAGTTATAGGCCACGTACACACTGCAGTTAAATTCGGTTGTCAGTTCACCTTTTACTCCTTAATCGCGTTCTGTACACACATAATTCACTAAAATACAGGAGTGACAACCGCATTAACTCCCGAAAAATACTGGTAGTGACAACCGCATTTACAGAAATTCTACGCAGTGTGTACGGAACTGAACTGAACAACTAGTTGTTAATGACGTATTTGAACGTACATCAGAAATGTGTCTTCATCTGTATGCGAGATGCAAGAAAATAAGTGAAAGAAGTCTTAACTTAGTACATTTTGACACGGGGCTAGCTGTGCTCATGAGCCCTGCGGTAAAGTGTCAGTGTTGCCAGATCTTCATAGAAAACAAAAAACACTAAAACACCCAAATGCTTTGTTTTATAACACCAAAAAAAAAAAAATCATCTCTCATATCCGCGACAGACCACATTATTAACTCCATAAAGTCTTTATGAGATAAGGCCAAACAACATGCTTAAAAGCTCTTGTAAATATGAGGACATGGCAACACTGCAAGACAGTGTTTTCAAAAGCAGCCTCCCGAACAAAACGTAGCACGTCTATCAGTGGTAGTTTAGTTTAATTCGACAGACAAAAAGAGCCAACAAAAAATGGCACATGACAAACGGCTAAATTTTTATTCACTCCCGCAAGATGACAAAATGTTGCTATGGTTACAAATGCGGGAGAGACTGCTGTTCCGTACACACATGGAACGATAATTTATGGGACTCACTCCCACATTTAAATGCGGTTGTCACTCCTTTGGTTCACATCTCTGTCAGCCCCTTCCTGTCTACATGGGGGCTTTTGGTCAAAATAAGCTACCTGGTCTCCAGCGCGGCAGCTCTCTGAAGCATCTCTTGCGTGACCTCCTGCTGTCCGTTGCAGAAGAAGCTCTGGATGACTGACAGGAGCTCCTCCTTCCTGGACTGGGGCATCCCGCTGCTGGCGCTGAGGAGAGCCCTTGCAGCCGATCGCACCCGCCTGCGGTCTGCGTCCTCAAGCAGCCGAATGCCCTCCTCGCAGCCCTGCGGAGCGGAGTGCTCCTCGGCCAGCCGCTGCTTCAGGACCCCGTCGTGCACGTTTGAGGCCGCGTGACAGGAAGTGCACAGCAACAGGATGTCGTGCGAGTTGTGGTCCTTCATCTCAGCCGGGAAGTGGCGCCTGTACTCGTGTGGGACAATGTTCTTCCTAGGTTAACGTGGAAAGACAGTAGTGGAGATGACTTAGTTTGGCGAGTCCCACTTTGCAAACAAACTCAAATAAATGGCAGGATCGAGACACACCTGATGTAAGAGTCGGCTTTCCCGCACACCACGCACACGTTCTCTTTGGCTGTGAGGTAGTAGTCCTTCTGGGAGTCTGGACGGCCTGACGGCTCAAACAGCAGCCGGACAACGAAGGGATCGTCGCTGACCAATTCTGAGATTATGTACAGATCATATTTTACTTGCAATTGTTATATTTGATATTATTCAAAGTAGGGGTGTCGCAGTATTCCGTTATTGACGATAATCGTGATATTCAAAGCATGAAATATCGCCATCGTGTTCATTTGGTGTGTGACAATATAACGGTATTGGCGATAGCTACAATATTTAAAATGAACAGGACTCTTATGATAACACGACAAGCACCAGTACCTGGTTGACCTCCCAGGTGTCAGTATTGCGCCTTAACGCTGACACCTGTCCAACAAGAAGATGATGCAGTGCGCAGCTACCAAAGCCACTAGAAGGCAAGCCTGCAACCATTAGCCAAAAAAAGCGTAATGGCTAAAGCTAATGTTTCCGGTCTGGCAGTACGTGGGAAAGGAGACCAGAGGCCGTTTTTTATTGAATGGATGTCAATGGAGGAGAGGCTTCACTACGCTGAATAAACAGCTTTTTAGAGGAAACAGCTCTTCAATTTAATGAATCGACAGCCTATCTGCTAATCTTCAACATGTTTTACACTAAACAATACTTTTGGATTGAACAATTTTTTAGAGTTTACCACGAAAAAAATCCCATTTTATTAGAGAAGTCACTGACTTTTTGCGACAGGTGGGATTCAGCTTACGGCATTTCCCATTAATTCCTATGGTATCCGTAAACGGCGACTGAGTGTCGCACAACTCAATGACGTCAAGGCTGTAATGTGATTGGTTATTAAGGCACACGTGATCCAAGTTAGACTGCATCATGAACTTAAAGTAAACAGCTTTGTAACATTCACACATGCACTGCACAGCAAGAGGAAAAATGCATTTAAAATGCGCGTTGAAAATTTCCTAATTTGGTCAGCAATATGAAGTCGTTGTGTACCTCCTATACCCTTTTCCAGGTACCATTTGGCTTTCTTCTTGTCACATGTGCAGAGCGGCTGGCCATCGGGAGCATGAAGGAAACAGTTATCATAAAGGGGTGATTTCCTGAATCAAGACAAACAGCACAACAGTCACACAAAGGAGTTCAGATCCGAATATCCAAAGCATGTCAAATTTGATCCGAATATCCAAAGCATGTCTAATTTTAATACTTTGTGCAAGAGATTTCTTGAAAGATTAGTCATGTATTTTATTATCTTTAATAAGATATATTTTCATCGTGACTCAAACACCTTCTTCTTTACCTGGCCGAGTAACCAACACCCAGTGGTTTGCGTTTGTTCCGCCGCGGGTCTGGAACTTGCTGGTCTCCAGACTCGGGACTCTCCACGGTGGACTTTCGACTTCGCCTCCTTCTCTCCCCTTCTTCCCCCTCTCCGTTATAGCGCACCCTGAAGGGCACGTCCACCAGCCCCTGGCAGCATGATGCCAGCTGGACAAACACGCTTTCACCCTCAGCGGGGAGCCGGGGCTCTTTGTTCATCCCCAGCAGGTGAAAAAACAGGGCAACAGAGATCTGGGCATCATGTGCTGCATAGACCATCTGGTGGATACAGTATGACAGAGAGTTTAGTGTACTGACACAGTTTCACTACACAGTCTATTCCAGCTGGGTATTACAGAATATTTGTAAGGCATTGCTGACAATATAAAATTCAAATCAACAGTGAATATCACAATGATTTTGTTGTGCAAATATTAAAAGCACCAAGATTTAACTGCATGCCTTATTTTTAACTAGATTCATTATGTATTTTACTTTTTAAAACTACGTGACAGGAACAACTGTTTGATTGGAAAACATTTTGAAAAATGTACGCTTATTAGCTTATTAGTAATTTTTTACAATTTCATTTTTGTTTTTTTTAGTAATAATAAAAATGGTTTCCTCAATTTGAGCGGTTCAAAACTCACTTGTAACTTTTTTTAGATATGCAATCTGAATGAAAAAATTCATTTGATAAATGAAGTGGTCAAAAAGTCACACCTTGTGAATGGGAAAGGCCAATACTGGGCAATACTGTATTGGTCATACAGTGTATAAATAACCTAAAATCCTAAATCATAGGATTGCATATTTGCATAACTGTGTTATTACTACTTCAGTAAGCTATAACATTAAACAACAACAACAAAAAAAGTTAAACTCTTGGTGTTCCCGGTCAAAAATGACCTGAAATGAGCCAAGCTGTGACCCTTTCTGAATACCGTCAAATGGAAAGATACTGCTATAAATCTGAAGCTCCATCAGAGGATCTCCTCCTCACCTGTTCTTGGGTCAACACATCCGCCTCCCAGTCACTGCAGCGCAGCTCCAGAGATTTGTCCAGCGTGACGTGTAGCAGATCTGCAGCCAGAGACTTCAGACTCAAGCCGTTATTCAGCACCGCTTGCCTTCAACACAATCCAGATCACCTCAGGTCACACCACAAGTGCTTTAAAGTCTTACTGAGGTTTGAGTTTATGACATTTAGAGACACCTGGTAGCAACTATAACTATCCACCTTATTCACTTGAACAAATTCAGAACTGACTGAGCTGATAATGACACCAATGACAGTGTTATTGAACTGAATTCAATCAACACTGAACTAAATTGTGCAGAGTAATGACACTATTCTTCTGTAGAGCTGCTTTTCAGATGAAATTTTATTAGTTTCATAATTCCTGAATTTTACAGAATTAACATTTATTTTCCTTTAACGTGAGCTGTTCTGAAACAATCTATATTGTATGCAAATGTGTCTTGATTTGATCATTTATTGATACATTGGCAAAACAATGCAATTGACAAACATTATCTGAAGCGCCTGTTTTTAACTTGAATTGATCGCTACCACAGACAATCTTTATATTCAAACTTTCATCTCAGTATTTCTGTGACTGTAAGACAGAAATAATACTGCGTAGTTGATTTTAATGTTTCGTTATGACTTTTGCAAAGGTTTAATAGACACGGGCGAATCGTTGTCATTTAGAAATTAGATTGTGTGTGTTTGAATCGAGACTGCGATCTTTTAACGAATAATAGTGCAGCTCTACTGGGTTTATTTCGATAAACTGTGCAGCTCTAATAGATAGTAACATTTAAAACTTGACTATGAAGTCTTGGATCAAACTGGGGCATTACCTCTGTCTGAGGGCCAGGTAGCGCAGGTCCACGGTGCAACTCAGAGTCAGACCATGATCATGAGTCAGCCGTTTCCCATCCTCATAACATCCCACCCCGACCTTCAGCACACGGGGGTCAGAGAGGACCCCGACGAGACCCTCAGGGAGAGGAAGCTGTGCATTACGAAACGTCAGCAGTCTGACCAGCACACAGCGGCCGGAGAACGTCGCCAGCTGGAGTAAGGAGACCGCCGAGGCCTTGCCTTTGACAGACACCTGTGAAAGCAGACAACATCGTCTAGTGCTGCCGCTACGAATGCAATGTTTAAACTGAGCCACATACAGAGCCATGCTTACACGCATGCTTTTTACCCATTCACAGTCCAATCCCAGAACCGGATAGACAGACAGGTCCGTCTGGAAATCAGGCCAGAGCGTCTCCCACTCTTCTGGCGAGCTGACGATCACGGGAGGCACCTCTAACAGCGAATGCGCACGCAGAAGCTTCTGGGTTTGCGGCTCTTTTCTTGCTGGCTGTGAGAGCGTGACGTCCGCTTCTAGCTGGGCTTGTATGGGCTCAGCTGAAGCGGGGCCCTTGAGGGCCTTTCTCTTCTGTGTGCGGATGCTGCGCCACAGGAACAGGCCGCCGAGAGTGGCTCCTAACATAGTGGCCAGAGCCGCGGTGAACGTGCTCGGCTTGGACATCACTGCAGCTGCACCGACTGCCTCTGAAACTGAAAATTAATACGCATTATTAAAATGCTTTGCTCATCGAGGTTGGGTTTATTTGATGAAAATACAGTAATTTGTGAACTATTATTGCCATTTTAAATAACCGTTTACTGTATATTTTTTTAAATGCAATTTATTCCTGTAATTTTCAGCATCATTACTCAGTCACATGATCCTTCAGAAATCATTCTCATATGCTGACTTGCCGCTTAAGAAACATTTCTTATCAATGTTGAAAACAGTTGTGCTGCTTCATATATTTGCAGAAACTGTGATGCACTTTATTTTTCAGGATTCCTTGACGAATAGAACGTTTAAAAGACGTGGAAATAGAAATCTTTCAAAACATCATAAACGTCTTTATTGTCACTTTTGATCAATTTAATGTGTCCTTGCTGAATTAAAGTATTCATTCTTTTTTTTTTTTTTATCATTTATCCCAAACTTATTTAGTAGTGCATCACAGTTTCTACAAAAACATCAAGCAGATAATAAACAGGAATGTTTCTAGAGCAGCAAATCAGCATATTAGAATGATTTCTGAAGGATCACGTGACACTGAAGACTAAAGTGGTATGTGCTGGTGATAACTGTCCCCTTACATTGATGTCTGGGGGCCATTTAACCTTTATAGGAGTAATTGTCTAAACTTATTAAATGCATGCACCATCTTTTATGACAAATTCTTAAATTTAATCAAATTCAATCGGTGAAATCGGTCTCAACTGGATTCATTCAGTAATGAAAAGCTCCTGCTTGTTGCTTGGAGATGTGAAACCGTTCTGTTGTGGAATTGTTTAGAACTACAATCACTTGCGAAATTGAGCAAAAACAGACAATGTTGCATCTACAATTTAACTCACTCAATATTAACTTCTTGTGACACTCGTTTTTTAAATCAATAAACATTCACAATTGTGCTGATATTCAGAAAAACATCACTCTTGCTCACGTCTAAATCATAAATTTAAAAAAGAACAAAAAAACAACTTGAATTTTGGTGGCATTTTTTTCTTCAAGCCTCGTTTATATCATTTGATGCTGAAAATGGTGCGAAAAAGTGTCAGAATCTGTCATTTTACTTCCGGTTTCTGTTAACAGCACTTGGTTAACACCAAGTTACAGCAGTTTTATTGTAATGACTGTGACATTGTGACAGAAACCAAAGCTACTACTGAGGCGATGAACATACATTGACAACGCTTCTGTCGTTTCGAGTAAAACCAACTGTAAGCTTTATTCAAACAAGTAATATATTTCTCAAAATATTATATATATTCAGAAATCTACTGTGCTTTCGTGAAAACATGTGTACGACCACTATTTCAAAACGGATACAACTCAAACAAAACTGAAACAACATCACTTTGATGAAGAGTTCGTGGTGAGTTCAGAAATAAATCATCTAATTACACCAATCAACCACTTTAGTCGCAGTGTGTTTGTGTCAGAGATGCAGTACTTCATTCTGACGGACTGCTAGGACCCGCACATCTAAACGAATCCCTATCGAACATGTCATTCTCGTGTGAGTGTTGCTGTAGATATACGCACCTGAAACCTCAAAAGATGTCAGAGTTACGAGTGAAGACTACTGGAGACACTCTCACACACGCTTATGGTGAACAGCTGCAGCGCGTCTTCTTCTGCGGCTTTATGTCATCAGCGCTCGCAGGAAGCATTCGCGCCACAGCGACACCTCTGTCGCAGGCGCGCAACTACACCGACTGTCAACAAAGTTTTATGAACATTATTATTTTGCATTTCGAAATTATTTTCGGAAAATCAAGCACAGTTCTCATTACTGTCACGCTTCTAGATGTTTTACACATTAGGTGGGAACCTCAAAAAAGGTTTCAGAAAAGAGCATTTGGTGTGAATGTTTTGTTATTTAAATATCTGTTGAAGAATTGAACATTAAAGTATTTGTGACCCTGCACCAGTCAATTTTTTGAAACTGAGATTTATACATCATCTGAAAGCTGAATAAATAAGATGTATCGTATGGATGTATTTTCGTTGATGTATGGTTTGTTAGGATAGGATTTGAAAATCTGGAATATGAGGGTGCAAAAAAATCGAAATATTGAGAAAATCATCTTTAAAGTTGTCCAAAGTAAGTCCTTAGCAATGCATATTACTAATCAAAAATTACGTTTTGATATATGTATGGTAGGAAATTTACTAAATATCTTCATGGAACATGATCTTTACTTAATATCCTAATGATTTTTGGCATAAAAGAAAAATCGATCATTTCGACCCATACAATGTATTGTTTTGCTACTTATGACTGCTTTTGTGCTGCAGTCACATTTGTTCTCCAGAAACACAAATCATCAGTTAAGCCGAATTTAAAACCTAATTACATTTTAGTATCACTGATATACTGTCATAGTTTTTGATCATTTGATTTAGATTTTATTTTTATATTTCCAGTTTTTCATTTTATTTTTATTAGTTTCTGTTTTTGTATATATAGTTATTATTAATGTTCATTTCTGTTTTAGTTACCTCAAGTTAAAAAAAAAACAACAATTAGAGATTATAAACTTAGAAAAACTAAAAATACACATTTTATATGTTAATATTAAAATGATTTCAAGTATTCAATTTATTTATTTTTAGTTCACGATAATAACCCTGATGCCAAGGATTACCACCTGCTTTGAAACTAGATGTTTGGACCAGCAACCTCTTTAAAATGTTTTTATTTTTTTATTAAAAGCTGCTAAAAGTACCAGGTACCACACAGGCATGCCTGCTTCAGCAGTGCTGAACAATAATTTACATCCGAATAATGACACTGGAAAAAATTGAATAGTCATTAAACTGAAAATACACAACAGAAAACAGAATAATTATTATTCCAACTCATCATACCTGACCAATTATAGATAATTAATTCATTAAGTCCCTCCCTTTACCCATTTCATATGCAGGCATATTGATATTGTAACAGTCCCGGTCCCAAACTATGCTGCCGTCCCGTGCAAGTGCAAGTGAAATACATTAAATCATACAATAGAATAATTCACAAATCAAACATTTTTCAAGATGATGTTTCAGAAGGCTGCAGCATCTCTTTTGCCTCCTTTGAGCTGACTGTGAGATCCTTGAGCACGCAAGAGCTTGGAGTTCATGGGCCAAACATCTTACGATGTTGCAAAACAATCACAGACGTTAGATACAAGAACACACAGAAAATCATGAATACTGTATGTGGAACAGAAGCACACAGAACCGCTTTCCTCTACCACCAACGTTTTATTCAATCTTTTAGATTTAAATTTTCCATAAAGAATTGGAATAATACAATGCAATACTTACAAAATGAAATCAAAACCTAAAAACAGGACCGATCATCTTTACGTCTGATAAAACAAAAGGGTTGATGGGATTGCATGAAAAGCAGGGAAAAAAATTCACTGCAATCATTGTAGAGTTGGAAACACAGGTAATTTCAAGACAGTGAACATCATAGCTCACTAACGCCACAGACAAAAAAAAAAAAAAAAAGGTTAAAATGGCAGCATGAAAGATAACATTGTCTGGGACCTGTGTGATTTAAAGACCCTCAAACCCGGTCTGGGTACAAATGGATTATCTATTTACAAAAGATGAACATCCAAACTATGCATGGTGGCCAGAAGACTAAAACTGAATAGAGACGAGAAATGAAAACCATCCCTTCACGCCTATATATATATGCTCTGTTCCTGTATGCACACAAAATAAGCCTGCACCTTTGGAAAGATTATTTACAGCTCTTCAGTTAAATTTCAAAGCTATTTAAAATATACTTAATGCATAAAAATAAAGATTTTGGCATTCTCTCCTTGGAGTTCATGGGCCAAACATCTTACGATGTTGCAAAACAATCACAGACGTTAGATACAAGAACACACAGAAAATCATGAATACTGTATGTGGAACAGAAGCACACAGAACCGCTTTCCTCTACCACCAACGTTTTATTCAATCTTTTAGATTTAAATTTTCCATAAAGAATTGGAATAATACAATGCAATACTTACAAAATGAAATCAAAACCTAAAAACAGGACCGATCATCTTTACGTCTGATAAAACAAAAGGGTTGATGGGATTGCATGAAAAGCAGGGAAAAAAATTCACTGCAATCATTGTAGAGTTGGAAACACAGGTAATTTCAAGACAGTGAACATCATAGCTCACTAACGCCACAGACTGATGTCACATCAACCGTAAGTGGCCAAATGATCGATTGGTACAGTGCTTGTGCTAAAATGAGAATCTTCTTATCGAAATAAAATAAAAGTGGCTTGACAGATGACACTGTCAATAGTGTTAAAATTCATAAAAAATTTGCTAAAAAATGATAACGATATGTAGGCAATAGAAATCAAAGTACTCATATTATAGTACAAAAAATAAGGTTAAAATGACAGCATGAAAGACAGATAACATTGTCTGGGACCTGTGTGATTTAAAGATCCTCGAACCCAGTCTGGGTCCATATGGATTATCTATTTACAAAAGATGAACATCCAAACTATGCATGGTGGCCAGAAGACTAAAACTGAATAGAGACGAGAAATGAAAACCGTCCTTTCATGCCTATATACTGTATATATATATATATATATATATATATATATAGTTCTACAAGAACCTCGTGAACCCGGAAGGTCTGTGAAGTGCCTCGTCCTTCAGGTAGGGAGCAGTCATCCAGCCTGCTAGGGGGCGCTGTGAGAAGGGTTAGTCGGGGTCGAGGGAGTACTGAACAATACAGGGTCAACGTTAGAGCATCTAAAGATTCCTTTTACCATCATCTTGTCACTCTAATTCATCTTGGACATAAATGCGCCATAAATGCCAAAAGTTGTACTCGCTTCGTTTCTGGGGGGCACCTTCATTAACCCCCTTGTCTCCATTTGTTCATGTCACAAGCCAAAACCAGACACGGACGAACAGACAAAGAAATCGAAAGATGGAGATATGGAGCTGAAGTGGTTTGCGGGGTCGTTCCCTCTATAGTCATCTCTCCATGAATGTCCATCGCATTGTCCTTCAGCATCGCTTTGTGTGCACTGTGTGTCTTTAGAGTTGGATCTCAAACGTCTTATGGAGCTCGGTGGAGAAGGGGTTTGTGGGTGATGGAGCGGTGCGTTGCTGCGAGCGGATCTCCAGTGCGGCCCACTGGGCCTCGAAGGCATCGGCCTGTTGCTGCACTGCCACAGACTGCGCAGGTGACGACACTGCCGCCCAGCTGTTAGCCCCATTAAATGTGGCATTGACTTTCGGTGGCTGCAGCACTGTGGCGTTTGTCACCGGAGGTAGGAGTGGTTTGCCGAAGGGGCTGCACACCGCCTGGGTGTCAAACTGGCCTGTTGGTGGTGTGGAGAAGGGTGAAGACTGGAGCTGCGCCTGGGGCACTTGAACAGGTACCGGGATGGGCTGAGTTTGCGTGGCAGAACCGAACACGTTGGCCACCATCTGCGAAGGTGTAATGCCAACCACCGGAAAGGTTGGTTGCACAAATGGGATTCCATTGGACACTGGGAAGGATGCTGGCGCCTGAGCGTGGAAAGCCGGCTGGCGTGGGGGTACGGTAGGGACCGCAGATGGAGGGATGCCTGGCATGAAGGGTGCAGAAGGGCCAGGTGCCATAGGGGTGGGGGCTAGGGCGGGGAAGGGCTGCTGAGTGGGAGGCGTGTTGGTTCTCGTGATGGCTGCGGGTTGGTGGGCTCGCACAGACTTGGTCACCTCCTCCAGCCAGCGGTCGGCTTCCGATGCCGTACGTTTGTGAGAGGAGGCAAGTGTAGAAAGATTTGCATTGACGGTGGGTAGGGCTCCTACTGCGGGTGCAGGATTTGGCCACTCGCTCCCTACAGGACACAAGAAGAAGAGTTTTGGTAAGCATCCCATTTATTCTGGTAAACAGTTTAGAGCAGGGATCCTCAACTCTGGACCTCGAGATCTACCTTCCTGCAGAGCTTAGCTCCAACCTGGATTAAACACACCTACCTGCAACTTTGTAGTAATCCTGAAGATCTTGATTAGCTTGTTCAGGTGTGTTTGATTAGGGTTGGAGCTAAACAGGATCTCAAGGTTCAGAGTTGAGGCCTCTTGGTTTAGAGCAGGGGTGTCCAAACTGTTTAAAATTCTACATGTCACATTTATTGTCCAACTACAAATATTTCAGCGAAATGTATATTTTAGTCAGAATTATTGCGCTCCTATTTAATTGAGCTGTCTGTTTGGCGCGCGTTCACTGAAGTCTAGCGGAGACGTTTAGCGGAGAATCCCAAAGCAGAAGGCTCATGCACTTCTGACAGAAAAATGGAAATATTTCCATGGCTTTCTAACATTTACAGATGGAGAATATACCTGTGAAATGTAAGTTATGCATTCAGGAAGACATCACATCTCAAACACATTAAACAGCGCAAGAAGCCTAGTGTCTGTGTCATCGGCACACGCAGCCTTTCTGTCAGAGCATATGACGGGCCGCCGAGCTGCTTAAATTAATATGCCAAACGAAACTATAATAAATAATGTCTTACCAGTTTTTAAAGGCCTTAATATGAAGCTTGTCACATGTTTAGAACAAATTGGATTATGCACTTTCTCCGCAGCAGCTCAGTCTGTGTCCTCCGCTATATTTTCAGATGCGCTCGTATCAAACTACTGTATATCGATATAAACGGTATTGCTTATTAAAAAAATATCGATATATCGTACAAACTCGATATACCGCCCAGCCCTAATTGGTAGGTCTATTAGTAAAATCTGTTGATTTTAGAAATCTTTTGTTTCATTATATGCCAACATTGACGCTTAAAAAATGGCAAAAAGCACTACTTGTGCTTTTTGCCTCAAGTTTGCATGACTGTAACTCAAGAGGTATACTGCAAAAAATGCTTTTCTAGGATCTTAATATCCTTTTAGATATTAGATTTTAGGTTCTTAACAAACTTTCCGTTTGGTATCTTCATTTTAAAGGCCCTCAATGATTCATTCCCAGAGATATGAAGATCTTAATGCAATTTTCAAAAACCAAATGTGGGTCATTTTGCATACAGCTGATACTTTTTAAAAAAAGATGAATATCTAAAGAACATATAATGTTGAAACTAGAAATGTCTCTTGATTTTCTATCTGAATATTTCTATCTGAGTGCCATAAATATTCTTTTTCTAAAGTTTACATGCCTGTAACTCAAAGTATTCATGATATTTTAGCATCCTTCTAGATTCTCATTCTAAATAATCTTTCCTTTTGAAATCTTTTTGAAATCTTATTTATACGGCCCTATATGGTTGACTCCATGTCCAATTTTTTTAATTTTACCCATTTTCAATGGTCAATAACCAAATGTAGGTATGTGGATTAAATGTGGATTACTCCGTAAATACACATCAACAACATTTAATATTTTGGCTTTCATCACCATACATGTTTATCTTTCTTCAGAAAAAAAATGGACAAAATCTAAAATTTGAGCCGGGGACCTCTGGTTGAGTTGACACGGAATGACCCTACAGCATAAATAGACTATGACCATGACTGTCTGCTTAGTTGCCAACTACAATCAGCATCGAAAATAAAGCAATTCTGATGCATGCTTACACTTGTAAAGTCACTGAAAAGCAGTTTGATGCAACAGCTGCTCACAGTGGTATAGCCTTACATTACAACCAAAATTAGTTTCTCAGCAACTATTCTGCATGGTCAGCACTTCCTGTGGTAGGAAGCCCAGCTCTTACCTATGTGTGCTGTGGTGGGGGCTGTGTTTGGGGTCTTGGCCCAGGGGTTAGTCTCTCGGACAGGCAGCGGGGGCAGCAGCACGGGTGAGTTAGCTGCAGTAGTTACAGTGACACTAGGCGGCGGGAAGGCAGGAACTGCACCATTAACTACAGCAGCAGACAGGACGTGAAGATTAGAGACCTCTGACTACACACACACACACACACACACACACACACACACACACACACACACACACACACACACAAGCATTAGGGGTTGCAAAGACGATTAGATTAGTTCTGCCGCTAATCAGGGTTCTGGGTCTGTAATGACTAGTCTGGAATCACATGATTTTAGTTGTGCTTATTCTAAGTATGGTGACAGCAGGAGGAAAATTTCTCTGTCATCAATATATACAACATAAGCTTTGTATTAGTAATGGAGATGGCTGACAAATTTACTAGCTAGTTGTCAATGAGTTTGTGTACTGTATGTATCATGCTTTCCACAAAATTATGAAGCAGCACAACTGTTTTCAACATTGATGATAATAATAATAAACGTTTCTTGAGCAGCAAATCAGCATCAGAATGATTTCTGAAGGATCATGTGACACTGAAGACTGGAGTAATGATGCTGAAAATTCAGCTTTGATCACAGTAATCAATTCCATTTTAACATATATTCAAACAGACAGTCATTTTAAATTGTAGTAATATTTCAAAATTTTACTGTTTTACTGTGTTTTTGATTCAATAAATGCAGCCTTGGTGAGCATAAGAGCCTTCTTTTAAAAACATCAAAAGTTTTGAAATAAATCAAACTTTTGAATGGTAATATATATCAAGTTCTAATAAAAAAAAAAAAGCATGTTTACATTCATTCTGATACAGATGCTGTGTGTATTGAGTCTTTTACATTAGGTAAACACTGACCAGCTAACTAGTAAAAATGGCTAGTGGTGCAAGTCATAACACAAACATCTACGCCTTTGCAAACTACTGAGAGTGTGAGGGTGTAGCTGACCTGGAGCAGAGGGTGACTGCGGTGAGGAGGCGGGTTTGGGCATCGGTGCGGAGGAGAACGGGTCCTCTGGAGGCCCACTGAAGGTGGATGTGATCTGAGTGCACAGAGAGCTGATGCTGTCGCCCTCACCCTCCACCTCCGGCACTGACAACCACAAATACACAGGACAATATTCACTATTTACATCTGCTGCAGGAAACTCTGGTGCTCTGAAGGTGTTTAAGTTTTAGGTACAAAAAGGGAAGGAGAAAGAGAGGAGGACATCTAATATAGTAGGGCTGATTTTTCTCAGTTTTGATCAATTCTCATTTTGATTAACTGATATCGGCTCTTACATACCAAGAATCAATCTTTTAGTCTGTGCTGTTTTAGTTGATGCATGAACAAAATGTCACCAAACATTTGTAGGGCACTTACCATCCAATGATCACAATAAGCGCTGTACTTCACAACTTTTGATAGGAAACGAAGTCTTAACTTTAAATTTCTGTCAATTTTTATGTTTTATTATTAAACTCAAACAATGTGGAATGACAGATCACTGTAGTACCTCAGTACAAGTTGGAGATCATCTCTTTCTCTTTACTACTAGTTATAGCATGAAATAAACATGAATGAACATCAGAAGCTGTTGAAATAAACAGAACAACTTACTGAAATGTATCATGTCTCATGTAATCACTTAATCAGTGTTTCAACCACCGAAAGATGTCAAATAAACAGCTTGTAAACAATGTTTTTGCTACAGCTAGCATTCGAACGAATATATTTCAAAAAAATAATTGTAGACACATAATTATATCATTAAAAACTTGCATTCTTTTAAAGTTGTAATATTTATTATAAAAAAAAGTCTTCTCTCTTTAGCTCTCGTGGTACTGGAATACACCGATCACTCTGCACAGTCAGTCCACGTCAAGTCGAACACACCTACTAGTTAACACCGGTTACACTCAGAGATGTGGCGCACACGTGAGGCTGTAATGTGAATGCGTCCCAGCCCCCTTAGATGTAAGGCTACATTTACACTGGTGCGTTTATGTTTTAAAATGAAAACGATCCTTGTCATACTGGCGTTTCCACTGCGTTTCAAGCCGGCTTTCCACTATCTCCGACAAACGACAAGCGACAGACCGGTCATTCATTTCCAATGGAGAGTAGCGCGGGAGCTGCGTGGAGTTCCGATCATATGCAGATGTCCGTTCATACTACACGACCGAAAGCGCGTGTTACGTGACCATTCATGCACACTGTAGCATCATGCTACATAAGACAATAAATAAGATTTATATTCCGCTTTTACTCAAAACTCACTTTAAACCACCATTGAGTGTTTGTAATAACTTCCGATTGCCGTCTAACAGGGCCGGATTTACGCATAGGCATTCTAGGCACGTGCCTGTGTTCGCTCTTCCAGGGGGGGCCCAAACACAATGAAGAGATATATAATATTTTTGTTATACTTTGGGCTATCTACAACAGTAAGAGAACCAAAAACCCCATAAGACATTGAGCAAATAAATATAACAAACAATAGGGTAAAAAATGACAAACTATTTCCATGTCTTCCACCTTTTTTATGTAGGCTACGGAAATCACGCTTTCTTTCTCCCAGTCTCTCTCACAAACGCACACACAGTGCAGACACGCACTCGCGCACACACGCGGAGACGCAAACAGAAACTTCTTGTCAGTGCTGCACCGCAAATTTATCAGTAAAATAGTTTCGCAGCTGAAAAGCTACATGACATTTCTCAGTAGCGAGGTTCATGAAGGAGTTTAACTTAAAGATTCGCTATTAGTAGACGCTGCTGCTGAACGCTGCTGAGAGATGCACAGACGTGAAATGTGTGTCAATATCCAGCCCTACAATATAGATCTATACTGACATAAAATAAGAAAAAAAGACCAAACAATTAAATTTGCAACTCTGGAACAGTAAAAACCAGAGAGCTTTTCAAAAGAGGATGTAATGCCAGACTGAAAAGCCTCACCAGTGTTTTTGATGGGGAAGTCTGACTTGCGCTGCACGGTGGAGGGCAGCTCGTTCATGCGCAGCGACATCTGCCGTTTGAAGGGAGAGGTCTTCTGACTGAGTGCAGGGAAGCCCCTGAACGAGCCCTGGCGCGCGATAGCATCCACAGTGGCGTGGCGTCGCGGGATGGCGTGAGGATTGGCTTCCTGAGGGGCCAGTGTGGCCATGGGCAGAGGAGGGGAGGATGACGAGCCATTGGGTCCAGCGAGGGTGACCACAGGATTAGACACGCTGACAGAGGAGCTGCCCAACACACCCTCAGAGTCTGCTGACAGAGGAAGGGTTAGACCGTCTCACGCAGTGACCATCAAAACGCATGTTACTTGTGACTGGACTCAAGTTTTGGGTCAGAAAGATTTTTTTAATGTTAATGTTTTTAGAGTTAATGGTTTTTGAAAGTAGTCTCTTAAGCTCACCAAGCCTGGATTTAATTGATCAACAATACAGTAATATTGTAAAATATTACAATTTAAAAGAATTATATATATATATATATATATATATATATACATATATATTTTATTTATTTATTTTTTTAATAAAACCCATATGTGACCCTGGAGCACAAAACATCAATGGAAAGATTATTTATTCAGCTTTCAGATGATGCATAAATCTCAATTTCGAAAAATGTACCCTTATGATTGGTTTTGTGGTCCAGGGTCACATATAAACCCCATATCTAACACGACGACATTCAGAGTTTTCTTTGGACTTTTGAACTATTCGAGGGCACTGTATGAAATCTCTCTCACACACACCTTTCTTGGCATCCTGCAGTTGTTTCATGACCTCCTCTCGCTCGGCCTGCTCCGTGGCTGTGGTGACGCGGAAGGATCCCTCCCGTGTGAAAGTGGTGCGGTTGGCATCGAAAGTGGCTGTGACCCCGCACTCTTTCTCCCTCTTCTGTTTGCGCTCCAGACACGCAGCAAACGCACAGCCCACCGCATGGCTCAGACGCTCGCCCTGAGACCAACACCAACCATTACAAATACAAAACATAGTCAAAGTCTTCCTTCATATGAAATGAAGGCTGGTGGGTTTAATTTTGTTATATCAAATATTATACATTTTCACAGCATTGAGTAAATCATATATCTGATAAGGTAGGGCTGGACGATATGGCCAAAATTTATATCACGATATATTTCTTAATTTCGGTCGATACGATATAATTCCGATATCGATATGAACACTATTTAAAAAAGCCTTGTAAAAACTGCCAAGAACGCCCACAACAGATGTCTGTGCACACAAACTTATGAAAAATTAATTTGCCAAGTCTTGACACCTCATGGAAACACTGGTAATGTATATCGAAATATCGGAAATGTGTTTAAAAATCATATCACCGTTATTGAAAAGAATTATATCGCGATACATATTGATATTTAATTATTGTCCAGCCCTATGATAAGGCAATATATTTAAACTCATTTTGGCTCATATACATATTTTTTCCCAGTGTTTGGAAACAACACCAAATCCTGAAACCTAAAAATTGATTGGTGATTTAAAAAAAAAAATTTAGTCCTGGTGTCCTCTATAGAGGACATAGCATAACATATGAATAAAATGTTATTTTATTAATAAAAATAAAAATGTTATTTTTCAATTTTTTCCTTACGCTCTAAACAACCTAATGACATGAAAAAATACCAAATTCACAAAGCTTTTTTTCTGGTTTTCAGGAGGATATACAGAGGCAAATAAGAAAAAATAAGGCCATAAGCCTCTCCACTGCAGGACCACAGTGTGTCCATGAGAGTGTATGACAGATCTGAGCATCTCACAGAGTCCTTGATGGACATGAATACCAAATTCACAAAGCTTTTTTTCTGGTTTTCAGGAGGATATACAGAGGCAAATAAGAAAAAATAAGGCCATAAGCCTCTCCACTGCAGGACCACAGTGTGTCCATGAGAGTGTATGACAGATCTGAGCATCTCACAGAGTCCTTGATGGCCATGAAGCAGTGGCAGATCCAGCGGCGCGTGGTCCCGTCTCTGCAGATGTAGGAGAAGGCGTGCTCAAAATTACGATCCGGTGCACAGAAGGACACCTTCTCTATCGTCTGGTCCAGAATGAGATCCTGGTAACAAAACAGGCAAAATGCATGTCATTCCAACTGTAATTTATATTTTCACAAAACAGTGTTTCAGTGTACAATCATACATCAACTCATCTGTAGTCATGTTGTATTCAAAAGGAGAAGAAAAGGTGAAAAAAGAGACAAAATGCAAACCCCTACAAGAGTCTGGGGGCAAAAACTGATAAAATGTTTACTTGTCAGCTTTAAAATGTGGATTGAAGTATTATTTTTATATTATTAAATTCTAAAAATAAATATATTACTAAAGTAATTATACTACTGTCCTGAGAATATGAAAAGAGTATTTAATTATAATAATAATGACAATAATAATACTAATTTTTATAGAGCAAGAAAATAAATGATACTAAAATTGTGATTGGCTGTGAATAACATTCAAATGTTTTTGGTGGAAAACTGCACATCAGAGATTTGTTAACAACAGATTTATAAACTATTTTAATTACGAATTTGAGAAGATCTGCATCAGTAAAAGCTTGCACATTTTGAAAAATTCAGCAGCATTCATACGCAGCTAAGTGGACCACCTGCCAGACCAAAATCCAGCAGGCCTTCATGCACCGATGAGCAATAACTGACTCTCACCAGCAGGTGGCAGAAAACACTGAACATGACAATTGTGCATGAGTATACCAGCACTGATTCATCCACCTGCACCGCATGCTGATCCAAACCTCTTTCATGAACAAAAAAAGACACTTGGAAGAGATGCTCTTTTCTATGCATTTGCAATGAATGGGACTGAAGCTTTCAGTGACGCAAGAGCATTAAAAAAGCATCATGAATGTGGTCAGTATGATTCACACACGATATTCAAAGTCTTCTAAAGCCATTTACTAAAGATCTTGACGTCGAACATAGTGTTATTATGAATCAGACAGCGATCATTCCACTGAAGAAGGTCACGGATGTAAGTAAATGACAACATTTTCATCTGAATTCACTTTAAGTGCACGTTTTTTAAATGGTCAACAGCGAACCCTTCATTATGATCTACTGTGCTGTATGTATCAGTACTGTGGTTATCTGGTGGATCAGTTCAGAGTCCTTCAGTACCTTTGTCTTGTCATCTACGACCCTCAGGCCATCCGCAGACACCCAGAGCACCGCTCGCACGGCCTTCTTACCCACCTGTGTGGACACACACAACACACACAGTGAGAGACGGACGGGAAAAGAGACGCACAAAAAGAGAGTTGATTTTCCCATAAGTTCCCCTCGTTGAGGCCCTTCACCCTCTTCGACTTTCACACAAATGCACTTTCATCTATCAACAACACCTGAAAATAGAGAACAGTTAAAAACAGTGAGTTTTGAGAAGGTTACAGCAGTGTTAGGAGAAGGCTGCATGTCGTATAACGCGAGAAAGAAAGAAACAGTAGAAGTGAACCACTCAAACAAACACACATCCTGATTCGGGGAGCTTTGAGTGTTCACACTTACCTAAGTGCAGAATTTAGCTGTTTCTCACATACACACACTCACGCGCTTTCGTTACATGAAAGACGAAAATATGAGTTCTGAAACTCAATTTGCCCTTTTGCACACACTCTTCTTTTAGGAGCAAACTAATCTATCAGTAGGGGGAAGAAGTGTACACACTCACAAACTTACTCTATGCAAGCACACAAATGCACATCTGAATGCTTGGGCAATGCATCGCAATCGTGCAATCCCATTGCGCACACTTAACATTCAATGCTTTATAGCTGTGGCGGGGTACCAGATCTCAGGACTCAAGAGCAGAGGTTGACCAATATACTGATTTTACAGATGAATTGGCAAAGTGTGGAAAACTATGAAGGTAGAATGACGTCAAAAAGATTTGCATACGCAGGGTAATATTTGTGGAAGTGTACATAAGACTGTAAGCGTAAAGCAGTGCTTTTGACCGTCTTTTGGCGAAAAAAACGTGCCAAAAGTGTAAGCGCGGAAAAATGGAAGTCAGAAGCATGCAGATCATATTTATTTTGCGTTAGCATGAAGCTGCAGTTTCACAATACATGAATTACACTTACGAGTAACAGTAAAATGCTGCAAATATTTTTTTCTTGCGCTTGAAACACGATTTACACCTTTACAAAGCTTCTCTTGCGCATGCAAATTTAATTTACGCTTACAGTCTTATGTACACTTCCACAACTCTTACCCTGCGTATGCAAATCTTTTTGACGTCATTTTACCTTCATAGAAAACTGGTTAAATAAACAATGACTGCAAGTTGCACAGTGTAACAGCGCCCTCTAGATGTGAAATTAAACCAGCTGCGGATTGCTGTGACATGTGCCTACACTTTGTATACAGTACGAGTTATCATTACATATAGTCATGGTATAGCGCCCTTGCAGCTACACTGAATGCTTCATGATTTGGCATTATGATTATAAACCGAGGACCGAAGCAAAGACAGAAAATCAAGCTTCAGTAGCTAGAAGCGCTCGAGTTCATGTACTTGCATAGAGCATTTTCTGGACGGTACGTAAATGCACACAGCAGAACTTACTTTTGCAAAGAAGCCCTTGAAGAACTTTCTGTCCTGGAATGGAGGTTGGTAAGGGGATGTTGGTGGGAGGAAAAGGCAGGAGAGGGTTACAAATGAACTCAGACACAATGTCCTGTGAGTGCGTGTAAGGACGGACTCTGGTTTGAGGGGTTTTGATGGTTAGGAATGACAAAGTGGTGAAGTATGGAGAGGAGAGGAGGGGGAGATCACACCTCTAGCTCACCAATCAGCCGTCAGACTCACCGATACGTGTGTCGATGTTATTGGTTCTGTTACAGTTCTAGTATTATTACTCCACTATGTGAGTTTGATTACTTCACTACTCTTGAAGGAATAGCTCACCCATAATGAATAATCACTCATTTACTCTCCTCATGTTGCTCCAAACGCATACGATGCTTTAACAGATGTTAGGCAAAATGTGTACGCTGCTCTTTTCCATTCAATAAAAGTAGATGGATGCTGCTTAGCTACAAAAATGAGAAATCATAAAAGTAGACCATGCAACTCATAAGGCTGCAACAGTTTTTTTTTGTTCAGTCGATTAAGTTATTGATTATTTTTTGATCAGTTGATTAATCTAGCAATAAACAAATATTCTAACCTCTATTAATTATCATGAATAGTGCCGAGTATGATTTACGTCAATGTCTATGGCTGATTGTAGAAAAACATGAACATCATTTGGGAATTATTGTAATTAATATTTGGAATTGCACGTTTTTAGCTTTTGAGGAGCTTCTTATGGTTTTACCAGATTTTATAATGTAGAGAGCGTGTTAATGTATTTGTCGAATATAATCAATCAGAAAACCCTGCGATACGAGTTAACATTTTCTTGATTCATGCTCACGTGAAAGTGCAATAATTCTAATGAGATGCTAAAAGAAATTTCTAAAAATCGTAATTAGCGCTTATAATTTTCCAACAAAATGATCATGATTAGTTTGACCATTATCGTGCAGCACTACATGTCACACATTACCTTCATGGTGCTTTTTCTGTTTTCTTTTTCTGAGCTCAACAGCTTCTGTCTCTGTTTACTTTCTTTGTATGGAAAAGAGCGGCCTGAACACTCTACTAAATATCCTCTTTTGTGTTTCATGTAAGAAAAAGGCAATAAAATGTTTTGGCGAGGGTGAGTAAATCATGGCAGAATTAGATTTTTGGGTGAGCTATTCTTTTAAATGAATCATGTTATGATGTTAGTGATGGCAGCAGTTTATTAGGATTGGTTCAGATGACCTCACATGGCATCAAAAGAGTCACGAGGAAAGAACTGATCTTGGATCCGGGGTTCACTACAAGCACACACCCCAGCTGAGAGAGAAAGAGTGTGAGGATTTCAAAATCTCTCTTCAGCCACAAACACACCAGGCTTATTATAGTCAACTTAAGCTTAAGCCATTAAAAAAAAAAAACCTTTGTGTTACTTGAAAGGAAATAAACGTTAGCTGAACTAAAATAAAAAAAGCAACATTTCTCATTTTCATTTAATTAAAAAAAACTTTAAAAAGCTTCAACAAAAAAATGTTAATTAAAAACTAATTTCAAACTATTAGATTTTTTCAATGATACTAAAGTAACACTGAGGGGCCGTTTACACGAAAATGTTTTCAGCCAAAAACGGGAAACTTTTCATGCGTTTTGCCTGTTCGTTTACACGACAACGGCGTTTTGGGGACTGAAAACGCATATTTTTGAAAACGGGTTTCAAAGTGCAAGTTTTTGAAAACGCCACCGTTATCGTCTCCATGTAAACACCCAAAACGGGAATCTTTGAAAATGGTGACGTCATGTGCGTGTGTAGTGCGTGTTAGGTATGTAGACATGCGCAGTACGTGTCGATTTTAAAGGCAAGCGTCAACAAACATACACAACAATGGCGGAGTACATGGTACAGTTGTTGCTGCTCAAGAGATTGCTAACGCTTCTTCAGCAAAGTGTGGATTTACTTCACCAATAATACAACCAACAGCGGAGACGCATCATATACACCCAGCCCCAGGTACTGTTTACTAACAAGGTGACAGCGCCAACTACTGGCCTGGCATACGTAATACAGCGTTTTTGGCCATTTTCGCGGATGTGTGTAAACGCGAATCGTTTTGAAAACGCTGTCGTGTATACGTGAAACTTTTTAAAAACGCAAGGGAAAATCTTTTCCGTTTTTGACTACATCGTTGTCATGTAAACGTAGCCTGACACACACTGCAGATAAAAAGCAATCCATTCTGTACACTCTTCAAAATAAAGGTTCTTTAGTATTGATGGTTCCGTGAAGAAATTGTAACATCCATGGAATCTTTCCATTCCACAAAATGTTCTTTATAGTAAAAAAAAAAAAAAAAAGTTCTTTAGATTTTAAAAACATTCTTGCCTCTAAAAAACGAAAAGTTCTTGGAGCGAAAAGAACTGTTCGCTCAAAGGTTATTTGGGGAACCAAAAATGGTACTTCTTGCTCCGAAGACCTTTCTTTTTAAGAGTGTACACATAGTGTTTGGTTATTTATGGGTATGATGACGCAATCTACTACTGAATTCACAACCCGCCCACATCATGTTTCTTGTTTACAGCTACGTGACTCCAAAGCGCTGCAGCGGTTATGTCAACCATTGTGTGTGTGTGGGGAAGTCTGATTGCTGTATTTCATATACATGTGGAATGATAACTGCAGAAATGCGTCGTCATTCCCTAAACCTTACAGTGTGGATGTGGCCTTTGTAAAACAAGAAGTGCACCGTTCACCAAGCCTGAGACTCACTTCCTCTCATCTACCCTGGCTTCACGTCCCTTAACTGAGGTTTGGGTTTCAGTTCAAGTAATCATGACCAGCAAAGCCATTATTTACTAAACCCACATCTTCAGTTAAGGCACAGAAAGAGGTGGAGGTTACATGTTACGAGTTAAAGTTACTGTCTGTTTCCACACGTGTAAGCTCATACACAGCAGTAGAAGGAAAGCGATGCTCATTGGGTTAGAAAAGAGGTTTAAGGGGTCAGAGAGGATCGAGATGCTCTTAATGGCTCATGTCAACAAACCTGCTTAGAAAAAGAAAACATCATAATGCATTCACTTCAGTACATATGCAAACAGATGGAGGAGGACGGGGGTTTCATGGGTAATAACTGCCACTGATGCTAGACATCTTGAGCAGGGTGGAAAGAACTGACTGTAGACAAATAGAAATACAGGAGCTGTAGGTAAAGAGAAACAGGGAAGACTAGAGGAAAGAAACCGAAATATCCTGTTGCTCTTCTTTCTCTCAGAATCAGCCTGCATTTCCACTGTTTGAGAGCTAATGCTGTCGTAACGGTTACTACATAACCGACCTACAAACACAGTGCAGTACGGTCTTCACCAGTCTTGATTACTTCTGTGAATATGTTGTAACTTTCCAAGTAATTTAATTAATTTCTTCATGAGCTGGCTGTAAAGGAACATTCAGAAGATAACAACAAATGAGCATGATTCACATCTGGCACTTGTAAATTATTTAATTTTGGAAGAACATGGAAAATTAAGTATTTGAAGTAGCCATGCAGCATGACAAAATAAGGCTGGCTGTGTAAACTGAATGCATATTATGCATGCGCTGAATTGACTGCAAACAAGTTTATTATACATA